GAGTCCACTCTGTCTGAGGCGGTTGAAGAAGTTATTGAGCCGGTGGACATGGTTGATCCAGGTAGACATATAATTCAGACCCCTTTAAACCTGTGAGGACTTGATCCATCATTCTTTGGAAAATAGGGGGAGAGTTCTTCAGACCAAATGGCATTCTGGTGTATTCGTAATGACCTTCTGTCCCGGTGAAGGCAGTTTTTTTGCCGTCTCTCTCGTCCATCTTTATTTGGTGAAATCCACTGGCAAGATCGAATACGCTGAAGTATCTCGCTCCACCCAACTGTGACAAGATCGTGGTAATGTCAGGCAGAGGGTAGGAATCTCCAATGTTTTTTTAATTCAGTGCTCTGAAGTCTATTACGAGCCTCCAACGTTTTCTTCCTTGGGAGTCACATTTCTTAAGGACGATCCACAATGGTGAATTGTAGGGCGATTCTGAGTCCTTGATGATGTCTTGTTCCTTCATTGGTTTAATCTGTTTATCAATTTCCTCTCGGTGTTGCTGAGGATATTTATACTGCCGTCTGAGGATGGGCACCTCATCTGTCGTTCGGATTTTACATCTGAAGTCCGTGGCGTGACCCAGGTCATCTCCTGGCAGATGGAACACATCTGGGAATCGTTCTATTAGTTGAGTGACTTGTTTTCGTTCAAACGTTTTAAGGTCTTGCTCCGGCCAGGCTTTAAGAGTTTCAATAACCCTGTTATTCAGCTGGTGTTCCTCACCGGGGATTAGTCCTAAGTTGCAGGTCTGAGATTTATCTAGCAGTGAGTCTTCCAGTGAGAATATGGTGGGTTCATCAAAAGGTTCAAGCCTTTGTGGTGCTAGATGTAGCTGGACTGGTTCCTCTATTGTGTTGATTACCATGGCGGTGGCTGTGTTGTCTTTCACTCGGACTACCGCTTCTCCCAAGAATATTCCGGCTTGTGTATCGACCTTGAGCAGATACCCGATTCTTATATCAGGGTTGTCAATTGGAACTCCAATGACCATTCTTGTCCCTGGTGGTATCAAGGTGAAGTCATTAGTTTTATGATACTCGTACCAGGGAATGGGCTTACAGGGTCCTTTAATAGTGGTGATATTCCGTTGTGCATATCGAATGTCAACCTTCTCTGCGCTGAGGAATTCCTGACCCAAGATACCGCTTCCATCCACAGGTAATTCCCCATCTACAGTGTGGAATGAGACCTCCGTTCCAAATATATGCAGATATATCAGTCCGCATGTGGGTAGAGCATTCTCAGTTACCCCGAGAAGGAATTTGATTCTCAGAGGTTGGACCTCTGCTGATGGTTTGATAGCTTTTTTCTCGATCAAATTGATATGGGCCCCGGTGTCGATCAGAAATCTATGTCTTTTATCATTTAGTTTTTTGTTGATTCTGACGTTAACTCTGGGTCCACCCCCGGTCACGGATTTTCTTCACGTTTCTTCCCGAATAGAGCGAGATAGTAAGCAAAAGTGGAGAGCATAGTTAGGATTTGTGTTGAAAGGGACTGTATTAGTGTTGAAAGATATATGGGTCTTAAGTGTGTTCAGGAGTTCATCCCCTAGGATGACTCCGTAACCACCAGGTTGATGAACGATCAAGTGAAATCGGACTGCCACTTCGGCATGTATTAGAAGCATAACGGTTCCCAAAGAGTCAAACACATGATTAGTTAGTCCAACTATTCTGATGATTTCTGTAGTGTCGATCATGGTGTCCGGGTGCAATGACTGGAGAGAGATCAGATTAACCGAAGCCCCTGTATCGATGAGTGCAGTGATTTTTCCCGGTTTCAGATAAGGTCCATGTAAAGCAATCATTGGTCCATCACCGGGTTCACAAGCAGCCACCCTATAGACTTTTACTGGCGGTGATGAGCGCTGGACATCGTGTGTAGCGATGGGTTCGTCTGGCTGCTCAGTGCACTCTGCTGGCGAGCCAGGATCCCGTTTAAATTCTGGGCTGACACGGGCGGGTTCGTCATAGGAGATCTCTCCCTGACTAGGCTACTAGGGGTTCCTTCAGGTGTAAAATTCCTGTTTCGATCTCTGGAGCGGTCTCTGCGAGGCGCTGTTCCCTGAGAACCTCCGGTCTTGACATAGGTTAGTAATTCCTTGACGAGAGAACTCAAGTTGTGGAATTTTATTGACATATTCCTGTTTCAGTACCTCTTGAGGTTTCCGTGGTTTTGCCATCAGGGTTGTGGCCAGAGGTTCGGCCTGATAGCCATTAGGTTGTTGGAAGGCTTCGCGGAGAGTTTCAGGATGATAGAGCTCTAGGTTAGGGAGGCCATCACTGATCTCAAGAACGTCTCTCCATCGTGAGGTGTCTTCTGGATATGTATATCCCATCATGATCCCTTGCTAGAGGTTCCTCATCGAGTTAAGCACTGGAGGTCCTGGTGGGTTCACTGTAGGTCTTGGATATCCACGTGGTGGTGTACTCCTTGACGCGATCCGAGCTGGAGGATAATATCCATTCATTAGCTCATCGACCAGAGGATCCAGAGTGCGTTGGGATCTTCCGTTAGAAGGTAGTGCATGGCCGAGGCTGTTTGACGGAGTTGGTGTGAGCATGTGGGCGTGAAATTGGTTTTGTCCGTGATGGTAGTGTGGCTCGTTCCCAGCTCTCAGATGTTGTTGCGGCTGAGGAGGCAGATATGTTGGTGTGGCTGACGGTTGCCCTGGTGCCTGAGTGTATTGTATTGTATCCTTGTATCCTTGTATGGAAGGATACTGAGAAGTATAATTGTATTGTCGATTAATAGGAATCTCGTATGCGGGGATGGAGAATGCCGGTCTAAATTCCTCAGCTTCCAGTTTGGTTCGGACGTCAAATATCCTAGTAACCTTGTGGTGTTTGAGGCCCTCTTTAATGCTCTGAGGACTGTATTCCTTGAATTTTGTGAGGACATCCTCGTGCAGTATTTTCTCGAGGGCTACCTTATCTGTGACTTCATATCCTTCGATAGCTCTGAGATCATATTGAACCAGTGCTGCCGAACGATCCAAGAAATCTTGCAAGGTTTCGTTTTGAAATTTTAATAAGCCGCGAACTTTTTATGCGTAATAAGTTATACTGGCCCCTATATCTTTCAATTAACAACTGGAGAATGTGATCTACCGAGTAAATATGAGTGTTGGCTAAGAGATTCTTAGCAGGGGGTAAAACTGGTTTTAATATTTGATGGATATATTGTTCTTTCTTCCCATCTGCGGAGGGTATAGATCCTTTATTGGCTCTGATTGCGTACTCGAATTCATCGATTGAGGCATGATCAGAAGTACCAGAAAACAGAAAAATACTATCTGTAATATCACGAGCCTTAATATAATCCTCATGTTTATCTGAAGGTGCAGCACCCCCGACAGGGGTAGTGGTCACCGCGTCTCCTGAATAGTCGATGGTAATAAAGGATCTATCTGCCATTTTATGATTTTTTAATAGCCGGGAAATGGGGAGAAAGATTGTAGGTTAAAGTGAATAATCAATTTCTCCAATTTTTAATTTCTTCAATGGTTTAAATTGAAATCGAAACAATTTTGACTAATGGAATTACTTTACAAAGATTTCAAATAATTGCCCGTGTGAAGTGAAATTCCAATTTTCAATTAATTTCAGTAGTGAGGTAAGAACAAAGGAGGTTAAAGCTCATTCTACCGACTGCGCCATAAAATTTTAGCTGTTATGTCCGGAGAATTTTCGCGTCGAAGGACATTGAATTTTGTTCATAAGCTGGAATTTGTTAATTAGAAATTTTTTGGACGACGCTGGTCTTTCTTTTTATTCTTACCTGTGAATGATTCTCACCTTTAATATAATTCAGTGGAAATTAGTTAGAGGAAGTAGGAAAAAGATTAGGTCCGTTAACCTTAAGTATTTATTTCAATTCGTTTTGATAATTCGTACATAAGAAAAATTGACAGTAATGATAAACTAGAAAAACCTTGCAATCAATTTTAGATCTATCTTGGATGTTATTTCTGATGAGGAATTACTCACGGAGACTGGTTATAAATTATAGGATGTGAATTCTTAGGGTGATTCCACCACTTTTCTCTGCCAGATGACAATCAGTACACTATTACAGATACTTAGGTGGAGTACCTGTCTTTCACTTGTTAAATTTGGTTGGAATTGAATTTGAGTCTAATTTCTCAATAGTTTTTAATAGTCACTAATAGCTAAAATTGAGTCACACCCACTATTCACCAACAATTACTACTGATTCCCTTGATCTGCAAGAAAACCGTTTACTCTCGGTTTAAGGATGTCGTATCTCCGAACAATTTCTAATTAATGCTCCTTAATATTATTCAGGAGCACTCGGAATGTTTAATAATATAGATTAAATCCGAAACACTAGCCAAAGTCGGACCGATTCCAATAATATTTCCGCCAGGAATTTGTAGCTCTTTAGGGAGCAGGTTTCTTCAGACTGGTTAATTTTTTTGGAGGCTCCCCTATTTATTCTTTTTTGAAAATTAGGAAATTGCTAAAAGTGGGAGAGGTGGCGTGATTTCCACCTTTCTGATTTCGGGTTCATTAGCTTAGCTTTACTTGCTAAAAAATTGCAAGTTGTTAAATTTTTCCTGGCGATGGCCTTTGTGGAATGCAGCGTTGCACATTCCCCTGAGGTCAGTGGCGGGTTTTGGTGGATTGCCCAATTTTTGTGGCGGCGGTTCATTGACTTGACTTTTTCTTATTTAATTTAATGATGTTGCGGAATAGATAAAATAATCTGGACATTACACTGAATCAAACGACGTTTTCCCTTGCGTGGAAAAACCAATATCGCGTCTCAATCATAATGTTTAATTGATCAGAAATAAACGAGAAATTACGATGTAGTTTTGGATTGCTGGTACAGAACTTGAGAGAAAAAAAGTGTAACAGATGTTTATCACTATTTTAATTATTCGGCAAGATTGAGCTGAAAGCGATGCCACGAAAATACTGGAAATACTAAGTAAGGGAAGCTGATCAAGGAGGAAGTATTTGCCTTACCCTGTGCATTATATTTGTTCGATGCATATATGCTACTCCTTCCAGTAACATCTTTATGTAACATTTTTTCATGGAGAGCGTTAAAGGTCTATTACTGTCCTTCAGTAGTTCCCAAAGACCAGAGGGCATATAGTGAAAAACCATGATGTAGTCGAAGCCTGATGGAAATGCATCCAACAACTTAATAATCTAAACAAACACCAAATAATCCTGTCACTAATTATACATCTATTATTTGTTAATACTATATTCTTAGCCTCAAATTGAATAATATTAAGTTAGGACAACCAGTTGATGATTCTTGGTAGTGTCTGTCTGTGCAATTTGAACTACAATGTATGGTTACCTCATATGTTGCCATAAATCTTCAAAATAATTATCCAATAAATATTGAAAAACTATGAGCATTAGTTTCTTGTATTTTAAACCTCTATGTTCTGTTTTCAAACAAAGTTTTTCCACTCTCTTACACGCGGATACGCTCAAATAATCTCCATCTGCCACGCTTACTCGTTCTTACCTGTTCCAGTTTCTTTTTGCTTTGCTCTGCTCCTTAATTTATGATGTATACCACTGCTCCAAGGAATAAACTTAAATTTTTAATTCTAATCAAAAATAAAATATCGAAAAGCTGCAAATTCTACGTGAGGGCTAGTCAGTGAAAATATTTCTTGAGAGGTATTGACTCCCCTCAGTTTAACTCAAAATCTGCAATCTCAAAACTCAAAATGGCAGGCAACTCATTTATAACTCAGGTTCCTGACTCGAAATGAAAACTATTATAATCCACATAAGAAGAAAGTTGAATAAAAATAAAGCAAAATATTAACTCCGGGTTTCATGTTTCCGTCACGACAAAACAAAATTAATGTGGCGAAAGAAACTCAAATTGACCGATTCTTCCGATAATTGATAATACAAATTATTAGATACTCGATCAATAAGAAGATATCCACAACCACAAAATAATGACAATATTAATCTGAAATTTAAACTTAAACTTGACTTTAAATCTTAGCAAGAATCGTCAGATTCCCTCAACTCTAAAGAGACGCGACAAAAGACGCCATTATATGCCCAACAGTAGGCTCCTCAAAAAACTCCATATTTTCTGAACAATCTCTATTATTCGACTCTGCTCATCTGTTCAGTCAACTCCACTCCGTCTTCTTCCAGGTAGGACAACAACTAGGATGCCGAAAATACTCAAATTAAACTCAAATTATGTGAACAATGTTCTCTCCTCAAAAACTCAATTTTACTCTATGCCGACCAGGAGGCAAGTCTGCTCAAGCTTGAGCCGGTACGTTTCACAATCCTTGAGCCTCAAGAAAGAGGAGGGAGTTCCTCGAATTTTGGTGAAAATAACTCGTCTAATTGCCGTTTTTCTAAGAATACATTCTCATAATTCTCGAAATTCATAACATGGATAATCCCGACATTCATCACGTGACTTTCAATATCACAACAATTATAAATATAAATTTATAATAAATTCCAAAAATAATTTCTACAAATTTCACAATCATTTTGCCGACAAATTCCAAGTAAATCAAAAATAATGTCGTCTAATTTTAACAAACCTTTTCCAGAGTTTCAATAAGTTTTCAAGGTAGGAGATTCTCGGAGATAAATCTCTCGGGTTGGGCCAGAATAACAACATGAAGGTAATAAAATACAAAAATAGTGAAAATTCCGACGCTCTCGAGGGAATATCCAGGTCCAGGCACCTGGAGACGTTGGATCCCTGGGTTGGAGATATCTATGGCGTCCGTTCAATTAGCGTGGGATCGGAAAGGGACGCTGTCGCTCTACTCATAATTAAGTGGGGCTTATCTATTTTGATCATTTCAATGACTCACGACAGTAGTTGTTAAATAAATTAACTATATTTGACCTACGCCACACGAGTAAAAATGTATCTTGACCTTCTCAACATTGCCCGAAAATTAATCCGCTTTCATCTCCAAAAAATGGGATCGCAATCGGAATTGGCTACTGATTCGAATATTGTTTATCACTTTCCTTTTTCCTTACCTTCCTAGGATAATAAAACTATTGAGTTGGTCAGGCCTCGTAACATAAAGTAACATATGCCACATGGTCCGAAAAGTATTTTATCAGGTTTCGCGGTGAAGGTGCTTGTAGTATAAATTACTAATCTACTTATTAGGTGCTTTTCTCTCATATTTTTTCGGGTTGATTTACTTTCACAGTCCTTTTCATTTCTCAGCATTTCAGACTCAAGGTAAGGTTTCTATTAATCTAGTAAACGGGCTGATGAAGGAGTTTCGGTCACTCAGCCGAAGACGAATGTACACCCCCCTGTGGACAGCACCATCCTCCTTATGTTAGTGGTCTTCAAAGAAAGCTGTGCCTAAAAGGTGAAAAGTGCTGGGGAAAAGCATCCTGGCGAGCTAATCCTCCTCTGGTATTCTCCTGCGCCACCTCTGGTATTCTCATATACTCTAAATACACGGGTGAGAACTACGGGGGTGAAGGAGGCAGCAGCGTGCTCTCTCCACTGACTTGTCACCTTGAGATGCGACAGCAGGTAAACCGAAAATAATAGAGACATATTGCCGCGGAATTAATTTGCTTTGTTGAGTGAGTAATTTTTTAAAAAATAAGCCTGACGATGCGAATAAGCCGAAGACAGACGATGAAGTGATTGGCGCCACAGTAAATGAGCTGCACGAACAATTATAGACATTTGGTCTGGACATCCCAGGTGATCATAAAGAATTGAATGACAGATTAGATTATTTTCGTCAGAGTGCAAATTAGTGCAATAGCACCCTCAGTTTTGTAGGTGGAAAAATTCACATCAGGTGACCTCACAGTCTCCAACAGACTCAGTAGAAATCCTATTAGTCCCTGGTGGTCTAATATCATACAATCCACGGGACGAGATTAAGCGAATAATTAAGGGACAAATGGCGACCCGAGAAAAGAGTTAGTTAAGAGGGACGCCTTCCCCCCATGGTTTATACGAAACAATTCGGTGGTGCAGACTCACCCATCTCCCCGTCCTAGCATCCAATCGCCTCAACACAGCCACCGCTGGAGAGATAATGACCCACACAATTCTCGCAGAATTTTCCGAAAGCTCAGTGTCACGACTTCAATACGTATCGAGAGCGCAACAATGGGTACAGGGGCCGTAACTCTGTTAATTTTAATCCGCGTACTGTGCCAGTGATTAACCCTAACCCTGATTTTGGGCCTAGCGACAGGGATGAGTTTCATTCGAGACAATTGCCTGCCGAGAGACTTCCTACCTCCCACCCTCAAGTTGAGTCGTCTGAAGATCATCCAGAACCCTATTTTCCAGCACGAAATTTGTTTAGTGGATTCCCTCAGGATGCAGCTCCTCGTCCTCGCAGCTACGATTTTCCTAGGGATAGGTACAGGTTTTCAGACTCGAATTATCAGTCAACTGTGATTCAAGCTGTGGAACAGGCAAGAAATTGGAGAATTAAATTTTTTGGTAAGCCACATGAGAATGGAGAAAATTTCCTCACTGAATTCATTGAGAGGTGTAATAGTAGAAGAAGTAGAGAAGAAGATAGGCGTCACATCCTACCCGAAGTGTTGGATGATAAAGCCTTGTTGTGGTACAGGCAAAAAAGCTTTAATTTAATGGATTGGTTTGGGTTTGAATACCATTTTCACAAAAACTTCACTAAAGGAGGACTAGGTACTGCCCTCCAACACGAAATTTGAGATAGAAAATAGCAATCTGAGGAAACATTTGACATTGTACATTTGAGGAAATCACCGCTATGGCGGATATGTACAGTAGGTTGCCTATTTCCATACCCATTCCAGTACAACTGAACAAAATTTTCCATGGTCTTCACGGAAATTATTTGTTCTTCATCAGAAGAAATCAGTTCCAAAATTATGATGAGTTTAAAATCAAGTGCTCTGGTACTAAGTATCTGAGGATTAATATGAAATCGTCTCCAAGACTCAGAGATAGATTCTGAGTTCAGACAGAACGATAGCGCTCATCTGACACCAGGCAATAGATGACTTCCATTCCAATTATATCAGGGCCCCCTTTGGAACCAGATTAAAAACAAGACGTGCATACAAATATTCCAAAACAGAAATAACCATCCATTCCGTCACTGATTATCGGATTAATTAGACGGGTTTACATTTTATTCTGTTCCCTGCCCAGCGCGCTTCAATGAGTTTAAGTGAAACATAGCCAGCGCAATCTAGTGAATCAATTACTCCTTTATTAACTGCGGAAGAGAACCTTCTGTAGTAGAGAAGAGCGACTCTATCCCTCCTCTCCCCCGCATAGCCTATAAGGACCGACTTCGTGAATGAAGGATACAATATGACTACCCCGAATGGGAACTCCATGCAAAGTCTCTACTTATAGAGGCTAGCAAATGCCAATGCCAATTGATGCAATTCAAGTTATCCTTATGAACGATCACTTGACATGTGTTCGGAAATTTGTTGGTCAACAAAATGTTATGTTGCGGACGCCGCAGTTACTACGGTTAAAATTTTTTATATATCCGGAAAACTTGGTGTAACCACAAAAAACGGGGGCTTTGGAAAACCCCATACAATAGCAAGGAATGTCGGTATGACCAGCCTAAATGCCGATTATGCGAAGTGACCACAATAAAAGGGACCACCTAGTAGGTATTCAAGTGGCCGTCATTATGGCCTGAGAGGCGTTAAGGAGTGACCATCAAGGCGACAACACTGGGAAACCACGAATCATCGAAAAAGAAACCACACAATTGCTCAAAGGCACAACTAAGGAGATCCTTTTCACTTCTTTTCTTCCCTCTATTGAATCTGGAAGCCAATAACTTCAGCAACCCTCCAATGGTAACCGCAGATGGGAGCTGCCCCCAGAAATAAAAGTGTCGGAATTTAGAGATGGACCACCTCAACCACGGGTTCGCCGATATCGACAAAAGAAAAGGCAGGCCGAAAGGGGGGGACATCTGCCCCGAGTGCCTGCCGCCATTGGTTACAGGGGGTGATCCGAGGGGCTGGTCACTCCGGAAATCATTGAACCACTCGGTTGGAAATCATTGAAGAAATCACCAGAAATCAAGAGAAATCACCGGAAATCAAGTGATTTCTATTTTTGGTGATGACTTCCAATAACCTTTAGAAATCGCTAGAAATCACAACGAAACGAAAAGTGA